CTATACTCACCCTACTATGCAACAGATATCAAAACCTATTCTTCCAGTCTATCTGAATCTTTGGAACCTTTGATCAACAACTTCTCATTCCCTCTCTCCCACCTACCCTCTACCCTCTAAGAACCATCATTATATTCTCTACGGTATTTCCCCAAAAATAAGACCTACCCATAAAATAAGCCCTAGCACGATTTCTAAGTCTTTGCGCAATATAAGCCCTACCCTGAAAATAAAACCTAGTGATGGGCGTGGCTATGCAGCATATCTGCACAACCCACACATTTAGTTGTGGAGTAGTAAAGAAGATGGGCAGCCCTTCTCATCAGCCCCAGAAGAGCGCTATTGCTCAACATGAGAGATTGGGGCCAATAGTTCTAAAGGAAATAGAGTCGCAAGAAATTCAGAATAGAATTCGGGGTTTGGAGAGTTATGATGATGTTCCAGAAGAAGACGACTTAACTATATTTGAATAAATATAGATTGTTGTACCGTACTTTAAAAAAATAACATATCCCCTGAAAATAAGCCCTAGCTAGGTTGTCTTTTTGAGGAAAAATAAATATAAGACCCTGTCTTATTTGCGGGGAAACACGGTACTTCTATGAGTTCAACTTTTGAGGCAATGAAAGCAAAAATAGATAAATAGGATGGCCTCAAACTAAAATGCTTCAGCACAACAAAGGAAACAATTAACAAAGTGAAAAGACAACCTTAAAAATGAGAGAAAATATTAGCAAACTATACATCTGATTAGGGGTTAATATTCAAAATATATAAGAAACTCAATAGCAAGAAAATAAATAGCCTGTTTTAAAAAAAGTGGGCAAAGAACCTGAACAGACACTTCTCAAAAGAAAACATACAAATGGCCAACAGGTACACGAAAAAATGTTTAGCATCACTAATCATTAGGGAAATGCAAATTAAAACCACAATGAGATATCACCTCACACTTCGTATAATGTCTTTTATCAAACATTGAAAGATAACAAGTGATAGGACGCAGAGAAAAGGTAACTCTTGTGCAATGTTGGGAACATAAATTAGTATAGCTATCATGGAAAACAGTATGGAAGTTTCTTAAAAAATAAAAACAGAACTGCCATATGATCCATTGATTCCAGAAACTGAAATCAATATTTTGAAGGAAATCTGCACTCCAATGTTTATTGCAGCACTATATAACCTTCTTAAAATGATGACACTATAAAGATGGAGGACAGAGTTGGAAGGTATGTGGATGTGAATACAAGGGTAGTAGCATGACAGAGTTCTTTCATGATAATGGAATCGTTTTGTATCTGGATTGTGGTGGTGGTCATATCTATACATGGGATAAAACTATATAGTACTAAACACACATACACACACACACACATACACAGGTTAAAAAATGGTAAAAATTGAATAGTTTGTAGTCTATATAATAGTACCAATGTTAGTTTTCTAGTTTTGATACTGTAGCGTAGCTATATATGATGTCACCATTAGGGAAGATTACACAGAATAGGTGAAGAGTGCACAGTACTTTTTGTATTATTTTTGCAATTTCCTATAATTATTTCAAAATAAAAAGTTTAAACAAAAAAAAAATGGCCCTGGGTAAGATAACCTGAATTTGAAACTAAACTTGTGCTATTGCCCTGTGTGCTATAATGCTTACAAAACCTATTTTATTAAAATATACCAAATATGCATAATTTCCTAGAGAGAAAAATATAAGATATAGGATGTTCATCCTGGGTCACATTTAAGGAAATTTACGGACGTTCAAAAGCCACTTTATTAGGAAGTTTAAAATATCAAATCATTTCATTCATAGCAACTAGAACCAGGTGTTACAATGTTCAATAGTATGGTCATGGAAACAGAACTTTAGAAGTCTAATAGAAAGTGAAGGCTGGGCTGCTTTGGCACCTCGACTAGAGCCATTGCCTCTCACTTCCCTCTCACTAGAGGCAGCTCTGTAGTTTCCTGCATCTCACTAGAGGCAACTCTGTAGTTACCTTGTTCACTGCAAAGGTTAACAGCTGTTCCATTCCTTGCATACTAGGCAAGCAAACTGCACAGTAGAAAGCTGTAAATAGAGCCATTACATTATACATTCATTTGGACTTCCTGATGAGGCTGTCCTCATGAGATGCAAAACATGGCCAAATTACAATTGTCATAAGCACAGAAGTGAGCTAAAGGTACCTAATGGTTTTTGGGAATGAGCAAAAGTTGCTGCCTGTCTTCATATTAATTAATCATACCCTTGTACATTACGTGGCACCTATGAAACAATTACACATACAGGCAAGGGAAAGGTAACAATATGAAAGAATCAAAATAGTAGTGAGATAATGATGTTTTTCTATTTACTGCTATTTTATTTTATTTCAATAAAAATTACCCAAAAATATTTTTTATTGATTGATTAAATAAATAACTTTTAAAACCAGAGCCAAATTGATTCACTATGCCAAGTCCCCAATACTGAATGTGGTATTGGTCAGAGGTGCTACAAATTCTTTTGCATGTAGTTCAATGTAACAAATATATAGTATCAAATATTTTTTAAGAACATAAGGAGAAGACATTGCTTTGGGAGTTGACACAAAAAGGTAAAAGGTGGTCTGTGGCTTCATGGGGGAGAAAAATAGTTATGCAGTTAACAAAACCCAAGAAAGACCATTACTGTTGCTATTAAGCATGCTAATGTGGTATTAATAACAAGAAAGAGAAAACTCATGAAAGTGGTCTTCAAATATTTAAAAAGGAAGTAGATGTTATCATGTCATCAATTGTACTTCTCAGGACAGAACTAGGATTAATGGCTAGAAATTATTAATACAAGAACATACAGGAAGCCTGCTGGTATCTATATGAGACCTTTTAATTTTTTTAATTAAAGCTTGTAAGTTTATGTAATTTACAGCATAATAAATTGTTGGCAACTTACTAACTATAGTGACAACCGATTAAAACTCTATACTGGCCGGGTGCGGTGGCTCAAGCCTGTAATCCTAGCACTCTGGGAGGCCGAGGCGGGCGGATTGCTCGAGGTCAGGAGTTCGAAACCAGCCTGAGCAACAGCAAGACCCCGTCTCTACTATAAATAGAAAGAAATTAATTGGCCAACTAATATATATATAAAAAAAAAATTAGCCGGGCATGGTGGCGCATGCCTGTAGTCCCAGCTACTCGGGAGGCTGAGGCAGAAGGATCGCTTGAGCCCAGGAGTCTGAGGTTGCTGTGAGCTAGGCTGACGCCACGGCACTCACTCTAGCCTGGACAACAAAGCGAGACTCTGTCTCAAAAAAAAAAAAAAAAAAACTCTATACTGGAGAGGATTTCATGGGACCCTTTCTAAGAGCCTGTGTTCTTCAGAGGCCTGAGCCCTGATTATGGCAAAGCAGCTACAGTACAAAGCAAGTGATACCCAGTTCTGAAAGAACAAGCTAACTAGGCTTCCAGACTTCCTGCTAGGTTGCCAGAACAGTGCTATATCCTAGAACAATGCTCCAGTTCTCCATGAGACCTATCTGTTCACCTACCAATGCATTTTCCTACTATACCATGTGAATTTACTCATCACCAGAGGGAACCTTGACACAATGTTGAACTTCATTTGAACTCTACTCCTGGAAAACAGCCACATCAGGAATTATCCCCACCTGTTAGTGTTCTATGGAAATGGCTACTGCAAAGAACCTCTCTTCACCATATGACTTAGATAAAACTCACAGATGACTAACTTGTAACCTCTGACAAGGCCAGACACAGACCCTCCAAATTTCCATTCTCTTTCTCATACATGATTAGTTGAACTGTTTATCCCTATTTACCATTCTGGTTGGTCAATGCCCACAAACTGGACCTGACCAAACTTTAGTCAGGCTTTTTTTCTCCCTCCAAACTCCTGAACTTTGACCTACCCTTGAGCAATGGAAGATGAACCACCTCTCCTTAACGGCCACTCCTCAAATCAGCGAACCTCAGGGGAAAAACATTCCCTGAACAACTGTCTAATCGTGCCACCCCCTTATCCCATTCCCACACATAGGTTTTTCTCTGACCTTGTTTACTCCTTCCTGTGAAGAAAAAGCCCTTTTCTGCTTGACCCTTGAGACACTTATAGATATCATAGCCAAAGCAGTTCTCCCTATTAAAATATTCTTCCTCTCCCTATTGCAATTGTCCTCCTCCCCTTATTGTAATAGTCTTTTTCGGATAAATCCTTTCCTTACCTAAGTCCAGATTTGTTTTTATTTGACATTTTCAGCCTGCAAAGAGCCTAACTTTACAAAACACAAATTAAAACCATTAAATACCCTCCCGTTTACAATTTTTATAGAATCACAACTATTATGTCTTTCTTGATTTCTAGCCATGTAATAAAATACATAAGTATATAGTACATACAGGCTACCATAAATAACATCTATCATATCTTTCCCAATGTTCAAATAGAAAAATTAATTAAACAATTAATCATTAAAATTAAAATACACCTGTTAAAATGAAGCATTTCGTAATGAAAGTGAAAACCTGGAACCAAACAATTGAGGTTTTGAAATCACAGAAATAATTTATGTTTTACTTTTGTCTGGTATAGTTCAATCATCTCTTTACAACCTACACAAAAGGAAAAAGGTTGATTAACTTGCATTTATGTTCACCGATTATTAACTCAAGCATGAAATTAACAATAATATATTATATCTGCTAAAGTTCTTTTTGAAGAACATTCTGCAACAATGTGTCACTTCTCCAGTGGTCCAGTGCCCTGATCTCAATGCAGCACCTTTCACTCTAGAGGGCACTGTAGAAAGCACATTACTTACAGCACATACATAAAATAAATTCTCCACGTTTTTAATCAAGAAGGGAAATATATAAGACATTTCTATACCAGGAAGCATATTTTTTTCTAGAATACTTGAATTCCTGTTTAAGAAAAAATGTTTTTAAATAATACTCATAACAAATATATCACAGCAAAATCAACTACTCACCCGCATTGACTATAGCATCTACTTCTAGCACTGTGATGTCACCTCTATAGAGAGAAACTTTTTCACTCAAAGTTTTCTTCACCTCTGACATTTCCTGAGTATTTTCCTCTGTAATAAAAAGGAATACATATTAATAGTAATATTTTTAATTATGACAATGTTTTAGTAAAGAAAACTACAATAATCAATATGAACCACACTCTACTACAAAAGACAAGTGGATATATGAGTGTAAGTACCAGGTGTGTGGTCTATTCTCTATTTATTTTATATTCCTCAACACAAACACGCTATCATATACATAATGGGCATCCAAAAAATTGGGGCAGGTTATATTGGTTAGCAAAAAAATTCAACATTAGTAATTTTATTATGAAAATATCCATTTTAAAATAACATTGTACACCACTACATTTCAAAAGGAGAAAAAAGATGTGCAACTACTAAGACAAAATTTTCACAGTTCTTTGAAGAAGCTTATTTCTCACTTGTTTTACCCAAAGGCATCATTGAAAAGAATATTTACTTGAGCACAAAAACATTTGGGTTCAGCTCTTTACTCCTTGTAAGTAACATCCCTCAGGATGGGACATTTCAAGAATATTTGAATTTGTGAAACTGCTTCTTTCTTATCAAATTGTATTTGACCATTCACTCTAGAGGGCGCTGCTAGATCTGAAAGAGAAAAATAGCTCTACCCATACACACAACTGCCAGCAAGACAGTGTATTTAAAACAAGCTGAAAACATTATGTTCTAAAACCTGATATATTTTTTACTGCTTTAGATAAAGAGTTGTTTTTAAATATACTTTTAAGAAAACGTATTTATAAACTCATACTTTTAAATGTATTTATGATTTGTGAAAATCTTCTATGGGAGAAGATAATGTTATTCATTCACTAAGACACTCAGATGAGCATGCAATTTTGAGATATCAGAGGGATTAGAGGTGATAGGTTATGAGTCACCTAAATTGTCTTCAGACCCCAATAGCCAAAGAAAAAAGTTGGCCAAGACTAAGGAAATAATCTGTGGCCATAAAGGTGATCCCTCCTCTCTCTGTCTACAAAGCATCCCCTTCTTAGCAGCCACTTCTCTCCTTAAAGGATTCTAATCAAATATCACTGGTAGTGATAATGAGGAGGAGAATGTTGTAGGAAAATTGTATGTTAAAAGAGTAGAGAAAGATTTTAGGAGGCCTCAAAATATAAAACACTTAATAGTTGAGCTGACCTCCTAAAGACTCCTAGAGTACTATTTTCCTCTGTCAGGTAATGACCAAGAGCAGAATTTACTGCCACAACTCTATTGAAATCCTAGTTCTGCCAATTAACAGCTGGGTGAGTTTGATAAGTTATTTATTCTCTCCATGACTCAGTCAGTAAAATACTGGCTTCTTCACAGGTAATGTGAGTTCATTACACTTAGAATAATGTTTGCCCATAGTAAGCTATCAACAAATATGACTTTTTTTTTCTATGAAGATGACAAAGACTATTTCAGCATCCATGGACCACAATAGTTAAGCTATTTTTTCAAAATATATTATTTTTAATAAAATACTGATATATTTATTGTTATTGCCTACCAGTGGAAGACACTGTATTTTGTTTGTGCTCTTGCCCAGTTGTCAACACTTGGCCTAATGACAAAGACTTTGAGCTACAAGTCTTTGAGTTCCACATCCAACCAGTTTCTATTCTTACTGCATTAACTACATTTGAAATTCCTGATTCCCAGTTAAGGATTGTTGGATGACAATAAATATGTGGTGGCTTTGTCAGATAATCCTGGATATTTAGACTATTGTGAACCTAGAACTTATAAAAGACTCCTCGCTGAATGTGAGTTTTATTAATAGAACTACATCAGGCATTAAATTAGCAAGCATATAACAAACGAAAGCAGAAAAATTGACTATTTCAACTTGGGAGACAGAGTACATAGATTTCCAATCCATTTTCTAACTGCTTTTAGCTCTATAAAGTATTTCCTCATTTTCTCATGAAGTATTATGTAATACTACATGTATAGTGATATGATTTTTAAACATATGTGACAATAAATCACGTTTCTTTCTCCAAAAGTAAGTATTAAAGAAAGGTATTGGAAAGCATCAAAGTTTAAAACATTGATACCACACAGTTTAGTATCGTTAAAAGAAATCCTAATTGCTTATTCGCAAATTTTAAAAATGGGTATTTTGAGTCTAAAGTGAAGGTTCAAGCAATTCAACATATTGAATATACTGCTGTGACACGTCACTCAAGTAAATTACTCAAAATGGTCTTTACTAGAATTATCAGCATCATGAAGAAATATTTTCATCTCCTCCTGTCTTGTTTTAAAAACATGAGCATCTTTTTTTCCTCAATAGTCAGACTTATACTTACAGCCCAATTCCTTGCACAGCATGCCAAAAAGTCATATACATACTTAAAGGCTATAATTTGATACTAATAATAATTAACAGTATTTCCTTCAACAATAAATCAAAACCTAATGACAAATTTTTTAACACCAACTGTTCTCTGTGATTACAAAAATATAAATTACCATGTAGAGGCCACCTTTTTATTTACACAGCAATGCCCTGCCTTCCTTTTCATACAACTGTGTTCCATCAGCACTGATCCCAAGTGTGTCTTTTCCCATATTCTAGGTATTTAGTAACAAACAGGACAAAAGGTTTTCAAGTGTTTCTTTCTCCTGGACATTACATATGTACACAAAGCACTGATTCAAATTTTGATCACTAGCTTTTTCCAATTGCAAATCAAAATATCTATTGTGCTAGCAATTGTTCTTCCAGATTGGATTTGACTATTGTCAAAAGAAACCAGAACAGGATAGTTGTTAAAACAGTAAAAACAGATTTTATTCAGAAGCTACTGAAATAGAGGAAAAGAGAACTCAGTATAGAACTGGGTTCAATTCCTAATATAGCAAGGACAACCAGGATTTATAGCCAAGGAACAGGATAGGGGTTAGTGGGTTGAAAATTACTAAGAAGAAACATCAGGGGTATGGGGTGGGTGGGATTCTGGCTAAAAAGACTTAACAGGATTCTTATTGAACACAGGCTGGGATGATCACATATTGCCTGGAGGATGGTGGGGGATGAGGAATTTGATTAGATATCAGGATTGTCAGATATCAAAGGTAGGGGATTCTCTCTAAACTGACTTAGCAAGATTTTTGCTCAAACTGGACAGTGTAGGTCTGGCAAAGATGGGGCCTAGACAAGAACAGGGCTTAGAGAAACCTGACTAAAGTTTGGTTAAGGGACAGTCTTTGTCAGTTCCTCTTCTTGTTCAAGGAAAGAAGAGATATTCTCATGAAGGTTGCCCATACATCAACAGTTGTGATGAATTCTTCAGTTTATACCAAGTTGTCCAGCTCCAGTTTCCTGGACTTTGGGAAAAGGATAGTTTTAGTCAGGGGTGGAGAACCTGTGGCCTCAAGGGCACATGTGGCCTTTCAGATCCTCAAGTGTGGCTCCTCAACCAAATCCAAACTTCACAGAACAAATGCCTTTAATAAAAGGATTTGTTCTGTAAAATTTGGATTCAGTCAAAAGGCCACACTCAAGAATCCAGTTCTCAGTGATGCCAAGTCAGGAAAGTAAGAAAATAACTGGAAATGTTAGTTTGGAGAATTGTAGCCAGGTATTGGAGAAAACTATTAATAGAAGAATTGACAAAATGTATAGGATGGTAAGATCTAGTCCAGTTTACAGGCAGATAACAAAAACCTCAAAGAAAACAAACAGGACTAGAATTTAAGAACTCACAGGGGTACACTATAGTTTTTCATTTAAACTTAAATTTTCTCTCTACAATCACCTCCCTTTTTTATTCTTGTTTACAAAATAAGTCTGGCCTCATTAGATTTGGCCTGATTATTTACCTAATTGCAGAAATAATGGTAATTGACCACTTAGAACTTTTTGAGTTTGCTTTACAGGAATGTTTCATAACAAATCTCAGATTAGACCTTTAAAAGCCTCTTGAGGCTTGGAGGCCAAGCCAAGAATTCACCACCAGATTTTTCCTGTAATAACTATAGATTTGGGTGAATTCCTGTCTTCCTGAGGTTCCAAAATTATCCTAAGTTTCCTAGACCTTCCAGAAAGAAACCTTCCCTACTCACCTGTAAGGCTGGGAATCCTATAAGCCAGGCACCAGGCTGGTTTTCACAAGGGGCCTTTGTAACCACTGGCTCCGTAAAGTCAACCTTTGTGCCTTAAAACTATCTGGACATATCTGATTCAATGCATCATTTTTAAATATGACATTCCAGTCAAGGCCTTTGTTATAAACTAATTTTTCCAATTACAACCTGTTACAAGGAGGACAGATTGTTATTGAACTTATACAAATAATTATAGTGTCATAAAAATAGGAATACTCAATAAGAGTTTCTGAATTCTGGAGGTATCAGGTAGGAAGATAAATGTTTCATTTCTTTTTACAAAAGTATAATATACTAAATTATAATAAATTATAGATAGCTTGAGAAAAGAGAAAGAGGGTCTCTTAAATAAAACATTCAAGAACCAGCAATGTTCTAAAACAATAACCACAAAAATTATCATCATTCTTTATTATGTCATTCAGTTCCATATAAGTGATTTATTCTGCTTGATCGTGTGTTAGCAGTTTTATGAGCCTGTCAGCTTCTCTACTAGTTCTGGAAATCCATACTCATTCCAGTGGTATGGTCTGAAAATTATCTAAGCAATGCCATCAGAAGTATATACCCCAGCTTACCAAACATAGTCTTTCCATGGATCTTTGAGACAATCGCTTTTTGCTGAAAATGAAGCATTCAGGCCTGTAAGCTGATTGCCAGAGCTCTCAGGAAGAATCAGAGTTTAAAAAAAAAAATCTGTGGATGGTAAAAGACTTAAAATGTCTGTGGTTAAAAACGTGATGAGAGTTCATTATAAAAATGATGTAATTGATGGGAGAATGTGGTTATTTCTGTGGCACACATTTAAATAATAGATATAATTATAACTGATAACATTATACCATGACATATCATGGACAATGATTATATCAACAAATTTCTGTGAAATTCATACAATTTCTGAAATAGTT